TTCCGTTTGACTTTATATAGGATCTGTCGGTTAATATGTAAGAAAACTTCATGAAATTTAGAAGGAATCTCTTTCACAGAAATTAAGACAAAATTTTGACAACACACGCTGATATTTCCCCAGCTTTGATCTTTGCGTATAAATTTTCTCATAGTGCCAAGGAGGAAACTAGGGCCCCAAATCATCCTTAAAACCGAAAAATTGCAGTCATTAATTCGGCACGATTCTGAGCTAATCTGTGATAAAATATGTCCAATTTCTCAATGAGCTACAAAAATGATTTACAACGACAAAAAAAAAATTTATTAAATTTGTAAAAAAAATATTTTTTCCTTCTAGTTTTTTACACAATATATCTTACGACTAGATTGCTGCCCTTAAGCTGTCTTATTACATTGTCGAATAAACGACATACAAATGCGTTTTTCGATATTCATAAATCAGCTGCAACAAAAATTGCTTTACTGCGTCATTCACTTAATTGCACGTCCCTCTGGGCGTTGAATTAATAGCCATTATTTACTCGCTACTATTTTTTATAAATACACAAACTTACATCTGTATGAATTAGCGCCAAGAATGTGCACAAACTAAATTTAAATCTAATAAATTATGGCAAAGAATGACAATACTCGTGGCGTTTTCGAACAATTCGCAAATAATCGGAAGAACCAAGTGTAAGAAAAAGCTTTTGGCACTTAGAATACGCCATATATTACGCTTATAAATATATATGTATATATATGTAATATTGTTTTTGTTGTAACTATTTTTATTGTTTTTTGCAAGCAACAACAATGGCTGCACTACTGAACCATATGATTTCATACAGATATAGTATACTTTTATTTTTGTATATATACATAGATATATCTTTTACAATAAATTTCCGCGAGTAAGGCACCGCAAGCTAAACTCGTTATATGAAGCACGTGTAAGAGCGAAAAGCGATTTGGCAGCCAAGTATGCACAGCCAACGCTTGACCCTGACATTTACCACAGTTTTAACCTGAAACCTTGCTGTTAGAAAGCAATTTGTTCACTCATACAACCATTGTAGGTGGTTGCTGATCGATGGTAAAACTGTTTTGGCTGCTCACATA